GTAATAAGGATCTTAATAAAAAAATTTAAGAAAAAAACTAGATAATTATTATAATTAAGTTAAAAGAAAGTATAATATAAAGAATATATATTATTATTAATTTATTTATATAATAAATTTTACTTATTAACTTGAAGAATTCTATTATATATTAGTTTAAATTAAAAATATAGTATAATTGAAAAGTTTTATAGTAAAAATATTTTTTACAAAATAAATATTAATCATCTTTAAATAATAATATTTAAAATTACTAAATTTAAAAAAAAAATTTGTTAATAAATTATTATATTAATAGTATTATATTTAACTTACTTACAATGTAAAAAAATAATTAACTTATAAAACTTTATATATTAATAATAATATTTAATATTACACAGTAATAAATAAGGAAGCATATAAAGTAAAAATTATCATTACAATATAAAAAAATAAAAAAAAGAATATAAAATTTAATAAACTAAAAATTTGAATAAAAATTACAAATTTTCAATTTTATTTCATTAATATTCAATATATATACAATGTTTATTCATAAAAAAAATAAAATTATTAATTATATAAAAGAAAAAAATAGTATTAAAAAAATTTAAAAAATTTTTCCTTGAAAGTTTAACTACTTAAAAGATAAAATAAGTAAAAATATGCAAAAATCCATATAGTTAATAAAAGAAAAATTATTTTAATTTTATATTTTATCCTTATTTTCATAAAAAAAATTTGATTATTGTATTCTTTTTTCATGAGAAATATTTTTTTTAGTATTTAATATTAATAGTTAATTATTAAAATTAATGACTAACTGATTTTAAATTAATTAAAATAATTAATTAATTATCATATGATAACAAAAATTAAACAAAAATATTTTTATAATTGTTCTATATAGATAGCAAGTAAAAAAACATCATATTTTTTATATTTTTACAAAATAAAAAGCTATTTTATTCTATTATTATATAAATATTAATATAAATAATTTTATTTTAAATTTTTGTTAATTTACTAAAATAATTCAAAAATTATAAAATGGTTTAAAAATTCTAATATAAATAATAAAACTAGTTTTATTATTTAAAAATAATAATAAACCCTTAAATATATATTTAAAATATCTTTTTAATAAATATAAAAACTATTATATTTAGCTTAATTTAACAAACAATATAATAAAATATTATGAAATTTTCATTATATAACAAAATTAAGTTTAAATATACAAATAATAAATAAAGAAATTCTTGAAAACTTTAAATAAGAATATATATAATCATATGTTTAAGAAAATAATATTATTTAACTAAAAATTTATACAATCAATTCACTTCTTCTTTTAATTATTAATAATAAAAAATTTAAAGAAATTTATAAATAACTTGAATCTAAATATAAATTTTTAGTATTAGTATCATAAAAATAATTATTTTTTGATTCACATAATTAGATAATAGATTTAAATTTAAGAAAATAACAGAATATTTAGTATTTATTTTAAATATTTGATTATCTTGTACATATAATACTTATTTAAAATTATATGCTATTGACTTATTTTGAAGTTTAAGTTATATTAGATATAATAAATTTTTAAAATCTTATATTACAGAAGAAATTGTAATAAAATTGAATCATAATTAGCAAAAATTAATATAACTTATGAAAGAATTATTAGAATTATAGAGATAATATTAAAGCAGTAATAATATAATTGAAAAATTACAAATATTTTATATAATAATATCTAATAACTTTCTATTAATTTTAATTATAACTATATAAATAATATGGGAAGTAATTAGTAGAAAAAAAGTAAATTCACTTTTTAGTCAAAAATTTTTTTATTAGTTTACTTTACTGATTATGATCATATAAATAAAATTAGCTTAATAACTAAAATTATTCAAAATTTGTAGATTTCTCCCTTTTCTATTGACCACCTCCTATATATTAAAAATAAAAATTAATTAATTTTTAAGTAAAAATAAAAAATGATATTAATTAAAAGAATTCAAAACAATTTGATCTAAACTATTAAATATTACAAAAAATATAGAAATTTGCTAAAATTTAACATTATATTCTATGTTTTTTAATGATTAATATTATTATAATAATAAATTAAATACATTTATAATATTATTTAAATAATAATAAAAAAAATATTTAAAAAAAGATGAAAAATTATTAAATTACTTACTTCAGATGTAAAAGCTTATTAGAATCTTTTGAAAAATAATAAAAATTTAAAAGTTTAAAATATACTTTATAGTAAAAAGAGAGAAAACTACCAAAAAAATTTTTTTTTTTTTGAATTAATATTAAATTTGAATTTATTTTACTAAATAAATAATATTTAGCTTAAAAAGTAAAAACAAAATTTTTGGTAATTTCTTTTCTTTTTACTATAAAATGCTTATATTTATAATTAAGTTTAATATTTCAATAATTAAAGAATTTAAATATTATTTAAATATATATGAAATAAAAAATATTTTAATTATTTAAGTAAAATATACTATATTAGATAATCTTAAAAAGTATCGAAAAACTTCATTTAAATTAAAATTATAAAGATCTTTATTAAATCCTTAATTTATTAAATTAATTTAGAAATTAAAATATTAAATTAATGATAATCTTTAAAACAAATATACTTAATTTTTAGAATTAGTTTATTTTTTTTATTTTATAGTTTAAGTTAATTATAATATATTAAAAATATAATTTGATATTAAGCTATTGCAATTATCTCAAACAAAATAATGAATTTTTAAAATAGTGAAAATCAATAAAAATGATTCTTTATATTTGTAAAAATTTGTTCAAAATATTTGGCAATTTCTAATTTATTAATACTAAATGAATATTTTTTTTAGATACAAAAAATTATATTATAACTAAAAAAAATTGATTAATATTTTTAAAATAAAATATATTTCAATTTCAATTTTTTTTCTTTAAAAATAATTAAAAAAATATAATGTAATAAATTTATATATTATTAATTTATAAATAAATTAAATAATAAAATTTCTAAAAAAAATAGCATTTAATATTTTTCAATAAAAATAATAATTATAAAAATACTTATATAATTAACTAAAATCAAATAATCATAATTAATTATCATCAAATCTGATTATAATTAATCTAATTAATTAATATCATTAACTTTTAGTTTTTTATCTCATATGACTTCAAATAAAATACTAATCTATATCTAAACTCTACTTTTTTCATTTTTACTATATATTTTAAGAGCAGAATTTTTAGAATAAAAATTTTATTTATTAGCTTATTTGTAATATGATTATTTTTAATTAAGTTATATAATACTAATCAATAAATTAAATAAGAATAAAAAACTTACTAGTAATTTTAGAATTAATTTATTTAATTTTATAAATTTATAAATATCTTTATTATTATTTTTTTTTCTTATTATTTAAATCTCTATTAAAATAAATTATTTTATTTTTCTAAAAAAGTTTTCTCTATTATCTAAAAGATAAAGGATTTTATTTGTTTTAAATATATGATTATTCACATTACAATTAAAAAAGTTATTTTTTTTAATGAAATAATACTTTAAATATTTAAAAATATTATGTATGCATAAATTTTCTAATATAAATCAATTGTTCAATAATAATGCATCTATTTAAAATTCATATTTAGGCAGCAATTAGTATCAAAAAAAATTAGCATCCATTTAGTTATAGAAAATTTAAATTATCATTTATATTAAATCTTGAATAACTATCTGTATAATAATATGAATATGTTATACAATCATAGCTAGGTCTTTTTAATAAAATAATAATCCAAAATATATATTGTAAGATACTTAAAGAATATTTACTAGAATAAGTAATTTTTTGACCTTTATATTTTCTAGACTTGAATCCTATTAAAAATATATAATTATATTAAAGAAAAAGTTAAAAAAGATCAAATATTTAATGGCAAAAAAATATTATATATGATGTATTTCTTAATATAATCTGATTAGAATAGAATATTCTTAATAATGTTATTATATTATTTTAATACATTGAAAATATGTTAAGTTAAAGCATATATTAATGCAAATAAAGAATACACTAAATATTAATTAAATAATAAAATTTATTATTAGTATTAATAAAAAAATTTACTTTAAAAATAAAGTTTGTACATATCATCAAATTTACATTTTTGTTATTCTTTTTATTGAGAATTATAATAAATATTAATTAAAATAAAATATTATATATTAAAAATGTTAAAATATTAATAATATTAATTTTATTAAATATTGTAATATAATAAGATCAATATCAATATATAAAATAATTAAAAAACATTTTTTTTTTTTCAAAAAAAATATAATGAAAATCAAATAATTATAAATACATTTTTTAAAAAAATCTATCATAAAAAATCACATCAACTTGAAGTATATCAGTATTTATAATATGATTTTTAACCACCCATGCTATTTTAAGTTTAGTATTTTAAAAATTAATTTCTCAATTAAATTCAAATTCAAATTTCATATTCAAAATATGTAAATAAACTCATTTACTAGATATACAATTATTTAATACCAGTGATTATGAAAAAGATACTAATTTAGTATTCTTAATTATAAATTTTAGACAAGAAAAAATCATCAAAGATTTTTAAAATAACATGTTTATATCTTGAATTCTAAATTTAACTTTATGAAATTACTCTTTCAGTTAAATATGATTCTTGTTCATATACTGCTAAGAATATTATAGATTTATTAATAGAAAATTTGAAATAAAGATTTTATAATAATAGTAAACAATGAATCAAATATGCAAAAGCTATTAAAATATAAAATTAATAACAATTAATACTTTATGACAACCTTGTACTATATATACTTTGTAGCTTGTAATAGAAAAGGATAAATCCTGTTAAATTATTAATTATATATGATTTCTTTATGATGTCAAATAATTAGAACGTTTTGAAAAAATTCAAAAATGATTTATACAGCCTGTAGATAAAGACAAACTGGTTTATTATTTATTAAATGATTAATTTTATTATACTAAAAATAAACTTTAACATTAAATTTCAAAAAAATTTTTAAGATCACCTGTAATGATTTAATAGCAAAATTTCAAGTGAACGTGATTTTAATTGCAAAATTTCCCGTAAGGTGATTTTAATAACTTAGCTCCAAGAAAAGTTCGGATGAAATATCGTTAGGATGCCAGGTTGTTCTAATTAAAATATACTATATTTCTCTAGGAATTCAGCAAGTTTTTTAGCACAGTTCGTCTTCCTTTAGTCTCTTGCTTTCGTAATTTTAGCTTCATAATTATTATGTTGTAACTTTGTAAATTTGTTTATCCCCGATTCTTCTTATTTTTTCATGCGTAATTTTAATTAATTAGCATTTATTTATTGAGTTTAATAATGAAAATTGCGAAAGTGTAGAGCCAACGTTGAGGCAACACTTGATTAATTAATTTTTTAAATAATTTAGTGTCATATATTATTACTTCAATATTTTTAATTAAAAGCTTCTGCTTACAAATAAAATTGTATATAAATATAACGAAAACAAAGTAATTAACATAAATTTTATTTTATTATTCACCAACATGTAGATTAAAAGGCGCAGAACATTATCATTCCTCTCTTTCTGCAAAGTCCACTCATTGTTTCTCTTTTATGGACTTTAATCGTCCAATTCCAATTAATATATCCTTTAACGCTAAACTTTTGATGGAATTTATTTTACATTACCCTATACTTATTTTCTCAATTTTATATCAAGTTTCTATGCTTTATTAAGTGTTCATATACCAATTTTCGTTCCCAATAATTCCGTCAAAATTGATTTCCTTCAAAATATTTTTTAGTATTAAGCGTTATTTTTTAGGTGAAAATACTGCGTTATTCTATGGTGAATATTATTCACGGAATATTTCTTTCGGCTAATAAAAAAAATAAATCCGGAATGTAGTACAGGAGGTTTCGGAGTCAACCGGCATTTCCGCCACGTGAAAATTGGGTTCTAAATATCATTTCCTTGCATATGGCAAATCTGTGTCCTAAATGGTCTTATGCCGCAAGAAAAAAAATATGTGCATATTCGGCATTAAAATTTTAATATAAAACAACGAGATTTCATAAATCTTTTTTTTTTTTTTTTTTTTGAATTTCACCGCACCATGACTTTTATTCGCATAGACTTAGTTAATGCGGCATTTAAAAGAGCCTGCGCATTAAATATACACCCAGACATTGAGGAAGAGCATCAACTTAGACTTCAAGCGCTACGTGTTGATAATTCCCTTACAGATGAAGAAAAGTCTGCAGCGTTTAATATTTTGGATGAAGATACTGAATTTTACAAAGTTACTTTAAAAAAAGGATTAAAAAGAATTTGTGAAATCTGCGAACAAGAATGTTTGGCAATAACTTATTGTGAACATTGTGTTCGAAATCACTTAAAAGCGAAATTTTCAAGTTGGACATCAGGAAATGACAAAGTTGATAACCTAATACGGAAATGTCAAGTGGAAACGTTTTCTCCGTGTAAAATAGTTGAATGGATTCCATATAGTAATTTGAAGAATATTAATTATTATACTAAAGGTGGGTGCTCCGAAATTTATAAAGCGGATTGGATTGGCGGAAGATATCATAAATGGAGTAAGAGCGAACAACGATTATTAAGGGAAAGAACGCGAAGTGTAATACTTAAAAGGTTAGTAAATGTAGAAAGAGCTAATAGAAATTGGCTTGAAGAGGTGTGTGAGTTTAAATTGATTTCAAGTACTACTATCAAGGTTATTTCTGAAACTTATTATTATAATTCTCAATTATATCACAATGTTATTTTTTTTCTTAGGCTGAAATTCAACTTAAATTAAGCAGTAAATGGAAGGCATTTATTGAAAGTTTCGGAATTACTCAAGATCCAATTAATAAAGATTATTTTCTTGTAATGTTGGTGTTAAGCACAGATTTAAGAAAATATCTACAAGAAAATCATAACCAACTTACATGGAAAAAGAGATTAGATATAATCATAGTAATAATTGTTGCCATTCGTCATCTCCATAATGAAGATACAATTCATAGAGACTTGCACTCAGGAAATGTATTATACAAAAATTATACTAATTCCTGGTATATTAGTGATTTTGGATTTTGTGGACCTGCTAACAAGCCATTAGAAAGTATATATGGAAATCTTCCGTACATTGCACCTGAAGTTATTTCTGGAAAAGAATATACTAAAGCATCGGATATTTATAGCATTGGTATGCTTATGTGGGAAATTTCATCTGGAAAACCACCTTTTGCTGGTATTGATCATGATTTTAACCTTGCATTGAAAATTATAAGTGGGATAAGACCAAAAATTGTGTCTAAAACACCATCAGGAATTAAAGAATTAATTGAACAATGTTGGGATGCTGATCCATTAAAAAGACCTAATATGAAACTCTTGATAATAAAGTTGCAAAAATAAGAAAATATTATTATCAGAATGAAAATGAAGAAAAACCTGCAAATAACAATATGATAATTGATAATAAATATCTTAATGAATGTTCTAATACAAGCTCTAACTCTAGCTCTATTTACCTATCTTCAAGAAGCAGCTTACATACATTTAGAATTTTAACTGAGCCGAGAAATGCTACTGAAGGTAAGATAATTTTTATTGTAAATATATAATAAAATTTATTAACAAACCATTTTATTTAATTAACTGTAGAACAAAGTGGTAAGTTTTAAAAAATTTATTAATACTTAATATTAAACTATTTATTTATTAATTGCGTTGCATCCTTTATAAAAACCAAAAGATTACGATAGTAAAGAAAATAATTTTAGCATTCCAAGTAGTAAGTATTATTAAATAAATTAAATTTGTAATGAACAAAATTTGTTTAATTTTATCAATTAATTTGTAGGTATTAATTCTGAATTACAAAGCAAGTTCAAAGAAATTCCACCGCATAGCTCTGGTGGTAAGTTATATATTTATACTTATATCGGTTTTATTCACAAATTTGCGATTTTAATTTTTTAAGAATACAATAGAATCATTGTTTATACCTTCATTTTTATTGCAGATGAAATGGAATCAACTATTAAAAACGAAAATACAGATCCTGATAATAAAGGTAATTAAGTAAAAATTTACTTGAATTGTTTATTCTTCATAATTATAATACATCAACATTTTTATTTAGAAACTCATATACCATATGATGGAAATAAAGTATTTCAATGAATTATATTGAAAGCGGTGAGAAATAATTGATTTACTTGTAATATTAATTTTTAATTACTCATGTACGCTAAATTTAATTTTAAACTTACGCATGTAGATGAAGATGAATATGAATATAATGATCAAAATGAATTAGAAATTTAAGATTAAAAATTTTAGAATTGATTTTTTAATCATTATATATATATATAAAGGATAAAATTTTATAATTATTTGTATTTTATTGTATTTATAGATTTTGTTTCAATAGTTTGAATAAATGGTTTGATTACATTTTTTTATAATTTATTCTTTTTTTTTTGTCTTTAAATAATTTTATGTATAAAGTAGAGCGCAAGCGCCCGCATCAGTAATTATAAAAACTAAACTAGTTTAATTATCGAACGTTTTAAATATAAACAGGGATTCTTAAATATTGAATAACATTGGCTTATTAAAAAATTGAGAGAAAAAGGTAAGAAAAGGTGCAAACTGCGTATAACCGGGAAAAAATATTCATAGGCTGATGTTACAAGCAAATACTTAATTCAAATAGTCGCGTTTTGAATTCTCAAAAATTAATAAAAAAATTACATTGAATTTGTTATTTTTTTTTTTTTTTTTGATCTTTAGTTCATCGAATATGTTTACAAATTGCTTTAATCATACCCATCCCTATGTTAAGAAGATTCTCATTTTGTTTAATACTAGAAATTGATGCGAAACTATTAAATTTCTCGTAAAAATTGTGCTGAAAGTTTGTGTGATGTGGCGTGGTATACGTAGTTATCGAACAAACGAAATAGTTCCTATAGTTCCTTGAATAATTAATATAAGGAGACAATATAAATTATTAGGGGAACACCACTAAGGTTTGTCGAAACTTTTAATGGGTGTGCATAATCACGTGATTAGTGTTCCTTTGACGGCATATAAATTATTTATTTATTATGCAAAAAGTAGATAAATCTAGTACGTAAAAAGGTTGACAAACAAACAAAAAAAGAAATAAATTAATTAAAAACCTGAATGGTATAATTTGACAACTTTCCTTTTTAGATGAACGAGATAATTTTTTTTTTTATTTTTCGATTTTTAAAATAGAATTCATTTAGCTCGAACTTTCTAAAACAACCAATATGTTCTAATTTCGGTTTTAACGTTAATGGTTTTATTATTTATTTTTTAACATTTTTTTGAATACAAAAAAATGGGGGTTAAGATATACATTTGATCAAAATAAAAGAATTGCAAAAAAAGGAAATATGTACAAAGAAAAAAAAGAAAATCCGCCTAAAACATCTATCCGATGAATATTACCATAATTAAATGGGAAAATAATAATTTGACGAGAAATATATATATGAATATATATACATAGTTTAGAAATTAATTCCCCTTGATAAAAATTATCAAAGGATTAAATGATTAAATTAAGAAATTTAAAAATCATAATGAAAATAAAGCTTAGGATAAAAAAATCTTAAAGCATATTTTGATTTTTCAAATAAAAAAAATTTTCGATGATGATTTTTATAAAGTGGAAAATTTTGATGATTTTTGATGATTTTGAGAATTATTGATCTTCAGTGAATTCAGTGCCAGAGAAATAATCCATGGAATCTCTCATATCGGCAGCGGATTTATCATCCAAGAAATTTTTTCCGATGACAATTTCTCTCATGATCATCACGCTATGACGTGATCTCTCAAAAGTGACTTTAATTTGAAGTTTATTCTTGACGCACATGAACTTTGTTTTTCCTGAAGGAGGGATATTTGAAGGAACTTTTACGATAGCATTTCCTTCGAAAATCGTATCAGGACCCATCGGGGTTATCAAGATATCTTTACCAGCGATGATATGTTTTTGATGACGCTTTTCACGTTGCACAGGAATGACCCCACGGTCGTCCACGGAATAAATTATACAAGTCTTTACGCAGGCACTAATCTTGCGAATACGCAGGTTAGGATTATGAGAGGTCAACCTTAATTTCACTAAAGTTTCACTATTTACATCAAAAAATGTTTGAGGTAAGATGGCTTGCCAAGATAAAGGAACTTTACGATTCCTTGCATGAGCCTTTATCACCAAGGGTCTCATCTCCTCTTGTTTTGGAATTGACCACCTACATAAAGGTACCAATACTTCAACGGAATGTTTCTTTCTTCTAGGTTTACGATTAATGGTGGCTCGAAGGGTATATTGTACTTTACCCAATTGACTATTAAATGATCCAATAAAATCATCTCGGATTTCAAATTCAAAAGGCAAATCTAAATCCGTGATCAACTCATGTCCCAATTCTGATGATGATTGCCATAGATATATCTGTTTATTATCAATAATTTTTTCCGCTCGAACTTTTTTTAAATCAACCCATTCAACTATTTCTCTTCCGGTGAAATTTAATGTAATATTTTTCGCTTCAACCGCTTGTGGAAACCTGATATGAAGGGTGCCAGATATTGTTGACACTCCCACTCCTAAATAACCTCTTTGGAACGAAGTGTTCTCTGGGTGATAAGAGAAAAACATTCGAGAATCGGTTTTAACATAATCTGATGGTAAAGGCGTTGAAGCCGCAAATGCTGCCATCATCGCCATGGTTGGATATTTTTTTTTTATTCGCGGTGAATTTTTTTTTTTTTTTTTTTTTTTTTTTTTTGAAAATAAATTGGATTTCTAGAATTATGAGGAGATTGAAAGGACTTTTGGGAGAAATCGATTTTACTGACAATGCCAATATTTAATGAGAGAATTCGACAGGAAAATTTCGTGATTTTATAAAGAAGTTTTTATTTATGAATATGACGTACTTATTGTGTATGTAAGGTATATTGCATTGTAAGAAAAAAGTGACCATGACGTATTTCATCAATGTGTTACATTTATAATATTACACGGATTCAATCAAGTTAGAATTTCAAACACTTTCGGAGATTTACCGTTTCTTGAATTCCACGACATTTATATTTAGTATGGTTAATCGTCATTGGGTAACCTTATTCATAATAGTCCCGAACCCATGCAATGACCTTTAATTTCCGAACGTTACGATTTAACAATGCTGAAAGCGTCGGAGGGACATAATCCCTAGCGCTTTGAGAACAACCTGCTGGAAAAAAAAAAAACTACCTTGCATGATTTCTAAAGTAAATTATGTCTTGATTTAACATCATCATGAAAAAATTTTTTTTAGCAGTTCTGCCGCATGTATAATATGAAAAAACGAGCATTAGCGTTTTGGGTGAAGCGCCCTGTTTACATTTTTTTCAGTCGGTATGCTGTGTGAGGGGAAATCTCGACCAAAATCGGTCGAATGTACGATTACATCATATGATGCAATTTAATAATTCAAAAAAAATAAAGGATTATCAGGTTCTTTCTTTAAAATCGACATACTTGATTTCCGCTTTAAGCTCATTATGTAAATTCATTTAAAAATTCCTGATATTCTGACATTCACAAACCTATGTTCTCTTTTAGACTATAATTAAATTAATTATTTCCTTTCTTGAAATAATCATTTTAAAAAGCGAACGAATTTTTAATTTCGAACCTCGGTCTTTATAAAAATAGAGACAATGTGCTAAGTATATTTAAACAAAACCCCATTTAGAGCCTATTGGTCACATTTCATTCTAAATAAAAATCCCATATTTTCTGTGATAAAAAATTATGTAATTGTTAATCAAGTATGATTACATTTCGATTTTGATTATCAAGTGATTGTCAAGTGACCCGAATTTGGTAATGTGAAATGAAATAACGAACTAAATCGCTCGGTTAACTGGACGTAATAGCGACTATGGCTTTTTTTTTATTTATTTATTTATTCGTTTTAAATGCATCAAAAGAGATCAAATTAGGAAATCATTTTTGATTCTTACGATGTACAAGTGGCGCAGCATTTACTACTAAACCATCCCGGCAAAAATCAAAACTATATTAAGACTTATCAACAATTCCGTCGAAATATGGTTTTCGACTATTGCCATTTGCTAAAATGAGTTTTTTCCAGGTAATACTATACTCGCTTTTCAAAAACAATGATCTCTTTAATACTTGACCCAATATGCGGGCGGGACGGTATATAACGTAGTACAAGGCAAAGTTCGGCATTAATTTTTAATAAAAATATGCCATCATCATATGTTTATATATTTTTTTAGATACTTCTGTAAAAAAAATGAAGGATAATTAATTTTATGATAAATAATTTTTTGATGTTCGGAAGTTTCGAAACTAGCCTACCGCAAGAGTTGATTTGGTGCATATTCTGAAGAGAAATTACTTGCAATGATTACTGAATTATTATAACATTAAATTTTTCTGCATTGGTAGATAATGCCTTTTGCTTATAATTATCGAACTTAATCTCTCAGAACCATAACAAATGACCAACATACATATTGAAGGAGGATGTTGAATAGAATAGAAATTATATCCCCAAAAATAACATTTATCATTTAATAAAATATTTAAATAGCCTTAATTAATTGGTAAATGAATTAATATGGTTCCTGAAAAGGGAACGAACCCAGAAATAAAAAAATATAGACTTATTTCATAGTGGAAACGATTCCATTGGCTGAATATCTAAAAAAAAAAAAAAAATATCATTGATCTGAAGCGATTACAGCTAATTTCATAAGTCATGGGACAGCCGATAATATCCGAGAAAAGTTATAAGGATTTGAAAAATCCAACCACATTTTATATGAGTAAAAAATTATTGTCGCTATATTCGGCTGAATGTAGCGATAATGTTTTTTCTAGAAAAAATTTTATACGTTTTTTTTATCGATCTGCAAAATGATCGTTCGTCTCGTGACTTTTGAAATTAGCTTGTACTGTAACGTCAGATTTTCTACTTAATAGCATTAAATTTTATAATTTTTATTTTACCTGTCATGTAATGTATTAGTTATATTGCTTAGAATTTTTCTGATACTCGTTCATTCTTATCTATAATAATAAAAATTCATTATTTGGCGCTTTTTTATACAATATATATTTTAAACTCACCAATTTTATCAGTTTGCGCTTCTTTTATTCTTTTACCATTTATTCTTATAAAACTTTAATCATTCCTGCACGATTTTTTTTTTCATCAACCATCATTCAAATCAATGATAATTTATTATTCTTTTTCTTATTTATTTGCATAATGTAATCCATAATACTTACTTGAATCATGTGACATTGTTATCATCCAAGAAGACTTTAAAGTCATGTGTAGTGAGATTTAAGGTTGTAGCATGTATATTCCATCTTTTGCCCAATTAGATATTTGATTTGGACTAAAGGTTTTCCATTCTCCAATATGAGATAAAGTTCTTACTTGTATACATCCATCCAATTCTCTCTCGTTGAACCATTCCCATTCAAAATAATTTGAAATTCCAGGAATTGTTTTAACTTTATTTTCTTTATTTTATCAAATAGTATATTATATTATTTACATCAATCAATTTCTAATAGAATAAATTATTTATCATCATCTCTATTTAGTTCTAAATGTGCCATATAAGTTTCTGCAATATCTTCAATTACTTCTTGAAAATTTTCACCTTCTTTTATTTCAAATCTTAGTTTAATATGCAAATTAATTAAATGTGAAATCTATTAGGTTCAATGATTAATAATTGAATGATTGAAATAAAAAATTATTGAAAACTCATAAATTCATGTACCTATATGTGATGAGAATTATTAGAAATTTTCACCACTTCTGCTTCTAAAAATACCTATTTATTTGCTTTTATATAATACTATTCTTTTTAATAACTCAATATTATCATCAATTCAGAGTTATAATAATAGGATCATATCAAAAATAATATTTATTATTCAGACTTCTTATCAAATATTTCAATTACACTATACAAGAATTAAAACAATAAGCTATATATCTTATTTTATATCATATAATTAGTGATCAAAAGCTTTGATATTTATTTTGCTATTTTTATTCGATTTTGAATAAATCAAAATAGAATGTAAGACTATCCTTTTTTGTCATAAAACTTCTATTTTGTCTCTTTTAAATTTTTGAATAAGATTTTCATTTTGTAATCTACTAGAAGAACTACTTCTTTTTTATCTAATTCTATTAATATTACATTAAATTGAGATTTAAGTAAATCTTTCTTATTTGATATATATGTTTTTTCTTGTAGATTTTTAAATTATTATAAGCAGATGAATCAACATTTTCTTTAAGATCATTAAAAAAAAAATTCTTAACATCATTATATTTTAACATTTATTATATATTTAAGTATATAATTAATCACAAGTTTTAAAACATAATACAAAGGGTGAACAAAAGTATTTGCACACTTTTTCACTTAATATAATGATAAAACTTACAATTTTTTTGCATTAACAATAAACAGTCAATTAATATTTTATTTAAAGCTGATTAAGATCTACATTTTATACTAAATAACTAGTATTTAGTTATATTACCATTTGTTGCAATTACAGATTGAATTTGTTGCAGCATATTATTGACTAAGTTTTGATAGTATGCTTCAGAATTTCTTGCTAAGCTTTTTTAACATATCAGTCAAATTAGATAAAGATTTTTTATAAGCTCAGATGCTTTTCTTGATTTCATCCTAAAGATTCTCAATTGGATTAAGATCAGAACTTTGAGCTGGCCAAGATAATGTATGAAGATTATTTTTTACTTGAAAAATTATTGCAGTTAATTCTTTAGTTTTTACCATTTTTTTTAGATTTTCAAAGAAGAAAAATTTATTAAAAAAAAAAATAAATTGTTATTCTTTTTATTTTTATAATATAAATAAATATTTAAATGTCATATAAATGCAATATATTATTGTAGTCATATGACTTTACTAGCATTAATTCACATTGTAGTGAGTATGCAAATACTTTTGTCAACTCTCTATATAAGTAATAATTAATGCAAATATTGTAATATTTTCTAATATTACAAATTATTATTTATATAATTTTTTTAGGTAATATTATAAATTCTTAACATATTGAGTAAATGTATCCTAAATAATTTATAATTAAAAAATTTAGTAAGTTTTTTTGTTTTATTATCAATTTTTAATCTGAAATTTTATTGAATTAATTTATTTTTTAAATTAAATCTTTCAAGCATCCAAATATTTCATATCTATAAATATTATAAGTTACATAAAATTCACTTATATTTTCTTAATATTTATATTAATTTCTTTCTAATTGATAATAAAAAGTTGTTTATTTTAAACCATTTAAATATATTTTCTGAAACTTTTCTCAAAGTATTTTTTTTGTATTTTTTTAAATAAAGAATAGGTAATTAAATTATATTATTAATTTTATAGGATGACATAATAACATTAGTTTTATCTTTAAAAAAATTGCTAAATTGTTCTAATTTTCTTATATTAATTTTTTAATCTGTTTAGCATCTAGTCTATTTAATCTAGCATATTTATAAGCATCAAAAATTGTTATTGAAATGACCTATTTTAAAATTTAATAAGTAAAACTTATGTCAAAAATATAATTAGATCAATTAAAATAATGACTGATAAGTTTGTTTTAATTTCATTATATGAAAATTTATCTGCAATTATTGATAAAATTCTTTTTTTTCCATCTGATTTATTTTTGTTTATTTTTAGGGATTCATAATAAGACCAAAATTTATTTATAGTTAGATCAGAATAATTATTTAAAGAAAGATATATCAAGAAAATTTTTTTTATATAAATAAAGAAATATATTTTAGTCATCAATTGCATTTGTAACTTTAATCCAAAATTCTTTCTAAAAGATTTATTAATTATTATATATAAATATAATTATTATTTTATAAAAAAATATTATATCTTTTATTTATCTCAGTTATATTTTTATTAAATAGTATTATATTAGTATATTCAATATTATATAATAGTATTTTCTAAGCACAAAATTCTCTTTCTTTGAATTGATACCCTTTTAAATATATATATATATTTGAGAGCACTAAATTGTTTCTTTCAATCAAGTAAAAATTCATAATAAAAAATATTAATAGGAATAAATTTATATAAATGATGTTTATATAATTGTAAAATTATAATTTTATTATTTTATTCATTAATTGTACAAGAAGATATTTAGAGAATACATATTAAATTTTGAATTTTCTCATGATTAATACCAAATAAAGTTTTTTTTTTTATTTTAATTCTATAGCATTTCAACTTTTTTTCTTATCTTAATATAAGATTATTGAAGAATGATATTAATGAATTTGTTGTACAAATAATATTTATATTTTTTTTTCCACTAATTTTATAAATAAAAGTTGACAAATATCTTAAACCTGTATATTCTAAAAACTCAATAATTCAAAATTCTTATCATTCAACAATTATCTGCAAATTATCTACTATCAACATATATAATTGAAAAGGAATATCTTCTAAAACTCATTTATTAAGTTTTATACTATCATAATCAAATATTAACGGACCAGAAAATCTTGTTTTTGAGCTAAATAAAGTTTGATATAAAAAGTTAATTGTGTTAGAAGGAGTATTATAAACAGGACTCCCAATATTATTTGGTTTACTAATATAACCAGGCTGAACGGTTGAAGTTGAATTTCTTTAACTTCAGTATTTATAAAATTAGTTTCATTAGATTTTCATTTCTAAGCATATAGGATATAAAACTTATATTGCATTGTCTATAAAAAATGGTAGCAGATTTTATTTACTGAGTATTTATTATTAGGGTTAGTATTAGAAGGGTTTAGAATTAGTTTAAGGGGTTAGCAAATTTGTCACATCGTGTCACATTCCAGCCGTTCTTCAATTTACTAAAATTATTTTGAAAAAATGCTAATTGTCACAATTATATGTCACCCCTAATAAGTATATGTGACCCGGCAAATAAAATCCGGCTACCATTTTTTATGGGCGACGCTAGGGCTGTTTAAGATATAATATGTTATCACGTGACTACCACCAAATGCTTCAAAATGTAATTCTTCATCTATTTTTCCAACTTTCACTAACGAAACATCATGATGTTTCCTTTATTCATTATCCATAAACGCGGTTTTAAAAGGATAGTCTAGAGAAATGAGAGATTTAGACGCGAAGCAAATTTTCATATTGCAATTATCACCGTCGATCATTAACAAATTTATCAAATTTTTTATGGTTCACGAATTAATGTTTAAATAAAATTGATGATTAATAATTTTTTTTTCTATTCCATAGTCATATGGGCGGCAGTCAATAAAAGGGAGAAGTCAAAATTATTTTATTGGTAAAAAACTAGCTTATGAACCAAGATTAGATAAAATTTCGGATTTCCCCCTTTTTTGCTGACGTTATATCAAACATGTTCAAACCGGTCCAATCAGTTCTTAGAATATGGACCGAGGTCTGCAAGGACCGACCCCCATTAACCGGTCTCACCGGGACCGATCCATCCCTATGAAATCTGCTAAATTAAGAAAACTTTATATTACGGGCCCGATCATTTTGCAGATCGATAAACAAAAACTGTACAAATATAGAATTTTTGAAGAAAAACATTATCGAGTATATCGACACAATTTTTTTTGCCCATATAAATATGATAATGTCTTTTCCGAATCCTTATAAATGTTCTCGGAACCATCTCGGATTTTATATGTAGAATCAATTTGGTCGAATCGAATACACAATGGCCGGGTCGGGTCAGGATCGAGTTACGAATTTTGCATCCGGGTCAGATACCCGACCCGACCCTTTCAGAGCACTATTGTCATGATAAGATGCAAATATCTTACGCTGCTCATTTTGAGCTTGTATTCTTTCCATTTAACTGATTCATTCAAATGACAAAGAATGCATTGATAAGCTTTTGAAACTTTTCGAGATTTCTTTAATCCTTTTGCTTCGGATAATAATTATATCAGATACATCTATAAATCCTCCAAGATAGCATATCATATTTGCTAATTTTCCAAATGAAGTTATGATCAACGCGCTTTGTGCAATATAAGGCATTTTTTCTTGATTCAAGCATTTGTAAATATAAAAGAAAATCTTTTTATGATACCAATTACGATCTGATCTCAAACAATTAACAAGAATTTTTTTTATACGCCACAACCTTGGCTTGTTTTTATTATCAAATAAATCACTAACACCGTGCAACTGAATGCGACTGACTGAAAAAATATTGTAAAAAAAATAAAAAGAAAAGCTTGTGTGACCAATCAAATATTTTGATTGCGCAGAACAAAATATTATGCTGATCATCAATTCTTAAAAGTTATATCATATACCAAATCTGTTGACCATTCTTTGAATCAAATTTCTGGCGTAATTAGAATAAAATTTGAAACAACCAACTAGATTTCGTTGTTTAATCATACCTAAAAAGTTTAAATTTGAATAAAAAAAAAAATTTAATTAAAATTCGTATTAATATGCCATAAAAATAATTTAATTCTACCAAATTTCTTTATGGAACAATTTAATAACACCATAAAAAAATAAAAAGAAATTCTTGAAATAATAACATTCTATTTAATAATACCAAAAAAGAAAAAAATTATTGTATAATAATAATCGATTTAACATAAAAAAAGTAGAGGTCTTATTTTAATAATACCATAAGAAAAAAAAAAAAATTCTTAAATTCGATTTAATAAACCCATATATGTAAATTAAATAAAAAAACATTTAATTTCTAAATCAATTAATAATACCAAAAAAAAAAAATATTTAATTCTGTGCAACAAAGATAATATAAATAAACATGGTAACAATGAATAAACGGAGATCATAATCCCCTAGAATAGAATTTGTTGTGTAAACATTAAATGTTATCCCCGGAGTTTATGTTAGTGACCAATTCCTAATCAATAATATTTTGTTCGTATAGGCGTGCGTGTGAAAATGTGTCATTCGAATATCATTCGAACGAAATAAATACATATATATTTTTTTATGAAATTCCAAATTTTGAATTTTAACGGATCACGCACTACCTTTTTCTTTTACTATTTCTTTTTTGGAAATGGCAGCAATGGCGGAATTAGATCGAGTAAATCTTTTAACTTGTTTCAAAAAAGAAAAAAAAAATAGAGATGAACACATCTTTCAGATATTTGTTGATAAAAATCATCTTGATTGTCGTTTGATATATATAGAATGTTCGCATTTATTGCATTCTAATTTTATAGTTTAACCGATAACCCGTATTTTCATCTTAATATTCTATAAATCGTTTTTATTGTATGTAATTGTAAATATTTAAGATATTTATGTGTATAAACAAACATAATTTATTTACGATGGTAGAATTCTTATAAAAGAGCGCCAAAATATCTTTCTTTTAATTGCAAATCTGAAAGGAATTCTCTAATTGTAACCTGTTCATATTACTTTCTTTTGTATTTAACTTGTGTTTTGATCTATCTTCTATTTTTTTTTTTCTTTTTTATTTTATTGTTGAAAAATGGGCGTGCCATTATTTGATAAAGAAGTAAGTTATGAATACTTTAAAAGAAAAATTATTTTTTTTTACTTCTAATAAAGATAATTTTATTTTAGAGTGACGAAATCATTTCTGATAGCATGAATGTGTTGGACAAATCCAAAAACATTCGTAAAAAATATAAAATTATTCATGAAATGCTTCCACAATATACTTCGCGCCAAATTCGTCAACGGTATGTCAATAAATCACTAAATATATTTCTTTATGCTATATTTTCATTAAGACACTAATTATTATCATGAAATTTAGTTATCTTAACCATCTAAATAAGCGTCGTAAGTAAATTTAGCTTTTTTTTATATTATTGTTTAAATTAATTTTGTTAAATTTGCATTCTTCCTTGAATTAGTGTGCATGAATCCTTTAGGAAACGAAGAAAAGGCGTTTGTTATCAGATGGATTACAACAAATCAAAAACAAAATGGTATCATACATTGGAAGATATTGATTCTGGATTTAAAAGCGAAATTTGGTTTGCTGAGGTCTGAGAATACGGTCAAGAATTTCTTTTATTCAAGAATGAAACAACTATCTCGATCTAGGGGAAATCAAAATGTACCTTCAGCCCAAACCGCGGTACCCTTTAATAATAATGTTTTGACTCATCCTTTAAACCTGTTGCAATGGAGCCTAATTTTCAACTTATTCCTCAAATAAATGAACCATATAGAATGGTCCCTCATTTTTAATTTGCTTCATTTTAAATGAAATGCTCTTTCCGTACATTTTTATGCCTTTTTTTAATTTCCTTCTCTGATTTTTCATTTGTAAAATTTACCCCCACTTTATTGTTAATCATGTGTTTAAACATTTTACTATTCTCATTCTTATAGTTTATCCCACCCTTTTTTCTCTTATTAAATTTTACTATTTTCATTCTTAAAGTTTATCCCACCTCTTTTTCTCTTTTTTATAATTGTCTTTTTTACTATTTTCTTTATTAAATCATTGATTGTTTACCTAAATGATGAACCATTTAAGATAATGACATCATTTAGTAGCACAATAAATTTCACGTGATATCTTTATTTCTTTTAAAATTTTATTTTTTTTTTGTTTGTTTACGTTTTTAAATTCAGTTAACGTTTATTCGGCCTAAAAGAATGTTGTCTTTATTGTTTATTAAAAAAAAAAAAGCTCAACATCGTTTGATTTATTTATAAAAACAAAAGCAAGAACACTTTTCTAATCTTAAATTCCAATATATAATAGCGATAAATACATTACCATCTTTATTTTGAAAGTTGACAAACATTTAATCCGTTATATCAATTTAAAAAGTTACTAACATTATGAATTTCTTTTATATATAAAGATATAAACTCATTCAAGCTAATTTAATATTTTGTGTATTGCTTTTTTTTAACGTAAAAAATGTCGATCAATAAATTCCGGGGCATCATAAAAATATTTCTTAAATTTTAAAATATTATTCTAAAAAATTCTCATACCAGCACGCTGTCAAAGTAATTTCGTTCAGCCAATAAATCAATAAGTAAAATTTTTGATCGCGTCTTATGTATGAAATCTATATACATAAACATTTTGTTATGTGTAATTCGACCTCCTCTGCAATTTTTAATATTATTTTGATCCTTATATAAAAAAAACTTTCCACGTCGGTTCAATTTTATTAATTGATCGCCAATTTTTTTTTTTGAAAAATCATGAAACTTGTAATAAAAATCAATATTGCAAAGATTCCAGAGGTATAAACTTTTGAAAGTTTAAATTTAAAACTAAGAACTTTACCTCATTGTTCTTCTGTTAATTAAAATAAAATGATTTTCCAAGTTTTAATAATTTTATAAATAAATACAATAATAAAAAATTGATAACTTACCTTCAGTAGCATTTCTCGGCTTTGGCAAATTTTTAAATGTATATAAGCCACTTCTTGATGACACGTAACTAGAGCTAGAGCTTTCATTAAGGCTTTTATCAATACTCGTATTAATTGCAAGTTTGTTATTTTCAATTTGATAATATGATCTTCTTATTTCTGCAACTTTATTATCAAGAGTATCAATATTAGGTCTCTTTAATGGATCAGCATCCCAACATTGTTCCATTAATTCTTTAATTACTGATGGAGTTTTAGACACAATTTTGGGTCTTATCCCATTTATTATTTTCATTGCAAGATTAAAATCATGATCAATACCAGCAAAAGGTGGTTGTCCAGATGATATTTCCCACATAAGCATACCAATGCTATAAATATCCGATGCTTTAGAATATATTTTTTCATCAGAAATAGCTTCAGGTGCGATGTAAGGAAGATTTCCATATATACTTTGTATTGGCTTATCAGCAGGTCCACAAAACCCAAAATCACTAATATACCAGGAATTAGAGATTTGTTTATATAATATATTTCCAGAGTGCAAATCTCTATGAATTGCATCTTCATTATGAAGATGACGAACCGCAACGATAATTACCATGATTATGTCTAATCTCTCTTTCCATGTAAGTACGTTGTGATTTTGTTGTAAATAATTTCTTAAGTCTGTGTTTAACGCTATCATTACAAGGTAATAAACTTTATTTATTGGATCTTGAGTAATTCCAAAACTTTCAACAAATCCGTAACATTTACTGCTTAATTTAAGTTGAATTTCAGCCTAAGAACAAAAATTATTGGATTGGATTAATTCAGATTAAGAAAATTTTAATATAAATACTAATAATCAATTTTATACCTCTTCAAGCCAACTTCTATTTGCACTTTCTACATTTTGTAAACTTTTAAGTATTACTCTTCGCGTTTTTTCTCTTAATAATCGTTGTTCGCTATTACTCCATTTATGATATCTTCCACCAATCCAATCCATTTATAAATTTCGGAGCATCCACCTTTAGTAAAATAATTAACATTTTCCAAGTTACCATATGGAATCCATATAACTACATTATACGGAGAAAACGTTTCCATTTGACATTTTCGTATTAAGTTATCAATATTATCATTTCCTGATGTCCAACTTGAAATTTTTGTATTTAAGTGATTTCGAACGCAATGTTTACAATAGGTTATTCTCGTTCGCAGATTTCACAAATTCTTTTAAATCCTTTGTTAAAAGTAACTTTGTAAAATTCAGTATCTTCATTCAAAATATTTAATGCCACCGATGTTTCTTCATTTGTAAGGGAATTATCAACAAGAACCGCTTGACGTCTAAGTTGATGTTCTTTGTCAATGTCTGGGTGTAGATTTAATGCACAAGCTGTTTTAAATGCTTATAAACTACCTCGTTGCGAATGGAAGACATTGTGTGATTAAAGGAAAATTTAAAAAAAGTTGGATTTATTTATATTTGAGAATGTAAGCGGGTAGAATTTTTCCGAAACAATCGTCAATTTTTTTCCTGAAGGGAATGATAGAATTCTCACCAAATGTGGCTAGTACTTACTTTCATGTCATATTGCAGAAATACCATTCAGGAATTCCATTTGAGGGTTCAAGCAGAAAAGTGATGAGATCCGAGAATTCTTTCGGGAAAATATAAATCAACTCCGTGGCAGGTGATGATGTTCACCTAAATAAAGCATGGAATGCGCAGTAATTTCCGGATCATCGATTCTAGTTAATCAAAAAAATAAATAAAATTTAATAATTTTTTAATGATTGCAAATCTGGACAGACTTTTTTTGATTAAACTAGTATTTGTAATATAAGAGAAAGTTACTGGTAATCAGTGCAGCGAAAATTAAATTTTTATTAATATATTATAAGGTTGCTGGGCAAAACCGGAGGTTTCGACAGGCGTCGAAACGTTTTGCCAAAGATTTTTATTAGGGATGTTAAGCGGTCCTTAACCGATCCTTACGATTTAGGAGATTACTAACTCCTAGAGTAGTCTAGTCACTTATCTATTATAAGTAACCCCATCAAAAAAATGTCATATAAACTTTATAATTAATTTGTTAAAAGCGAAAATGATATTCAAAATTGGCAATTTTATGGGACCGCTAAGTATAGGACCGGTCCTTGGGACCCTGTCCTGAGTCCTTAAATTTTAAATTTTAAGAAATTCTGGGATTAAAAGAGGGTTTATAATATATTTTCATTTAATAGCTCATTAAAACATTATAATAGATAAGTTTCATGATAAATTTGTAAATATAATTCTTGTAATTTTCATGGGACTTTTAGGACCACTTAGGACCGCTTAACACCCCAAATTTTTATTAAAGGCAAAATTGCGAACGTTTCGACGGGTGGAAAAAGTTTCGACGGATGGCAAAACCCATCGAAACCTTCTGATATAAAAATACAATTTTTGAATTTAAAAATTTATTATTTTTGTTTAGCGAGATGAGCAAATCGTATATAGCAAGATCACTTTCTTTTATAATAGCATATATTTACTGTATTTATTTATAAAGGATAAGAAAAAAAAATTCAAAAAATTTACATATTGAAATTGAATTAATTTATTTTTCATCAAGTCCAGTTACATTATTTATCTCCCATATTTTCTTCATTTAAACTCATGACAGTATTATTATCTTCTTCTTCATTCATTAAACTTTCATTTGAAAAATCATCATCTAGAGATTGGAACCGGATTCGACATTCGGATTTAAAATCCAGACATATCCTGTTTCGAATTTAAATCCGAGCACAAAACCAGTTTCTCATGCAGCACCGAGATCGTAATATTATCATGCAAGTATAATTTATTAAATTTTAAAAAAAATTTAATAGAGATTCGACTTTCGGAATTAAAATAAACCCGGTTCCAACCTTTATCATCATCTTCTTCATAAGGTAATTTTTTCTAATTCTTCAACAAATACCATTGCTTTCAAATTGAAATTTAAAATATAAAGCAAAAAAAAAAAAAAATCGTCTTTATATTCTACACTATCGAAACCTATCGAAACCCATCGAAACTGTCGAAATAATTTCGACTTTGCCAAAATGGGTTTAGGGTTTTGCCCCGCAACTATAATTAAAGATAAAAATTTAATAATTTTTTAATGATTGCAAATCTGGACAGACTTTAGTAATAAAAGAGAAAGTTACTGGTAATCAATGCAACGAAAATTAAAGTTTTATTAATATATTACTCGTTATCTAATTAATTTATTTATTTGTATTGATAATGGTGATCTGTAAAGTACGGGATAAAGAAACTACTAACCATTATAGTAAAAGTCAAAGGGTTGTTTATTCGTTATTCATCCTTATTAAGCTAATTTGTTTGTTAAATTTCGTTAAAATTTCACATCTTTGCGCAAACAAATATTGCAATGCCTTGCATAACTTCTCATTATTGCATTATCGTACAAGAATAGATTTAAAAAAAAAAAAATTGCATTTAGGATAAATTTCGGCAATTGCATACGCACTTTTCTAAAAAAGAAAAGGTTATGAGAACGTTTGATATAATTTTCTCATCATTTTTTATATATAAATAATCCGCGTTATCTTTGTCGTCTTTCTTCAATTCGATATAAAATATCAAAAAAATCACGCTAATTGATAAAGACCAATTTTTTTTTATCTAACATACAAACTTGATCAACACCTCTGTATTAATTAAAAAAAAAATATGCAACAAGCAAAAATTCCTAAAGTTATTATCATCGGTGCAGGCCCAGGGGGACTTGCCCTTTACGTGCATTAATAAAGAACAAGGATAAGAAAGAATTCGACGTAAAAATCTTCGAGCGGGAATCTAGTCCAAAAGGTAACAGAGAAATGTACAAATTTTTATCTGTAATTGAACTTGCTTTTAAAACTTTACCAACATTTATTTAAAAATAGATCGATGGCAAGGGTATCATATCGGGTTAAATACTCGTGAATTCGATCTCTTTTGAATTGCACAACATCCTCGGTCGCTTCAAATCTTACAAAAGCCATTCCAGATCCACTTCCTGATGTAGAATTCCATGGAATCTCAATCATTAACCATGCAGGAAATCTTTTATTAAGGCCACCAACTAAACAAGTTCAAAACTTACAAGAAATTGTAAAGATACCTGATGATCTTTCAATTATAATTTCTTATCGTGATAGGCTTAGAGACGTATTATAAGACGGAGTTTCAGTACAATGGGGTAAAAAATGTATCGGATACGAAGAAACTAAAGAAGGTGTTTGGGTAACTTTTGATGATGGTTCGCAAGAATTTTGCGACATTTTAGTTGGCGCAGATGAAATTAATTCTCCAGGTATACTTTAAATACACTTGCTAGCTTATAACTTCGTATTTCATTTTTAATATACTGTATAATAAACTTTTTTTTATTTTCTTTATGTTTGTTTTAGTACGAAAACAGCGATTATCCGAATTGCAAATTTTCGATTATGGAGTAACTCATGTTAATACAAATGTTGCCGTGCCTAAGAACCTTATGGACAGGATCATAAAGTTACATGGAAATAGTTTACTGCAAAAATCTCTCGGGTTACACGGCGACGCGTCA